AAAATTTACATGGCACACGAGTTCTTGAACCAGAACAAGAATTAGTTTAGCATTACATATGAGCGAATTTTTTTCTCTTGAAGTAAATAGTAACATAGGTCAGGTCCTCCCGCTACCCAATCCATGAACCCCAAACCCTTTGAGGACATAACAGAGCCATTTTCCTGAGAGATGAAACCTGGCAGAGTTAATCAACACTTCCCTATTTCCCAAGCCTAAGTAAATTTTTGTCAAATTTTATTTGTGAATGATAAAGGTTACTAGCTGGTTCATGTTCCATAGCCTGCCAATGGATGAGGCTTTCCCCTGCCAACAATAATTGGAGGGTGGCTGTCTCATTTTATAGTTTGAAAATTGAAAGGTGATGGAGAGTTGCTTTGTGTTGTGAATCCACACTAGCTCCCGGGACTCACTTTAACATTGATAAATGTAAAAAAATGCCGTAATTATCAGAAGAATCAACATTCATTACTTAGAAATAAGGCTCTGTTATTTCCTGAAGGAGGTCAAAGACTCAGTAGTAGGTTAGAAGTGACCAGCAAGAGCTGCCTTCAGGCGCCCATATGTAAATCAAACAACAGCTGATTTGCCAGTTACTTCCATTGAAATAATTCAAGAACACTTAAGTTATACACAGATAAATCAGACTAAATTAAAGGGAAAATTAAGCTGTACAGAATGGGACTGAGTTAATATATGTTAAACTGGGTTTAACAAGACAAAAATGTCAACTCAGTTGTTGTTTTTATTTGGTTTGGATGAGAAACATTTGGCACAGTGGAGTTCAGTCGTGTGAACTGTGGAAAATGTATATTACATAAATCCTTAATACTAGAGAAAGTGAGAATGATAAGGGAAATAATACCTAAAATTAAAAACAAAATTGTCAAAAATATTTAGTTGAGATATTGAACTAAAATATTTTAGCTGTTTATTTTTTATTTTTTATTGAGACGCCCTGATCTCACCCAAGTGATAAAAGATTGTTCAGTTACCCCAAATAAATGAGTTACCAAGTAGTCTGTTTAAAAACATTAAATTCTTGCCGCCGTGAACGTCTGATTTTCCCAAAATTTGCGCCCAAATTCCCAAAATACCGAGATCATTCACAGACATTCTAATTGGAATTTTTGGAAATCGTAGAACGTGGCAGGAAATTAAATGATTAAAACCACATTATTTAAAAAAGTTTTCCAATAACATACAGTCAACCCTCACTTTACGCGGTCCCACATTCCGCGTTTCCACGTTTAAGCGGTGCCCTGCCAGAACCTAACATGCTCACATTCCGCGGTGCGTGTACCCCATTACGCGGAGAGCGGCTGGCAAGCCGCGCCATTTTTGGATCCAAACCTCCCGCCATCCGCCATGTTGTGTAAGAGGCGCGAACATGGTGCGCACAAGGTCGCCCAGTCATCAAAACATTACCAGTTCTTCACCCGCCACCCACTACAGCCGGCCCAAGTCAGTGATAGTGATAATTATAGTGAGGATATGGACTTATATGAACTTTGGGGGGTTTGACAAAGAGGCCCTGCAAGCCTCTGTGGTGGATAGTGATACAATTGATACAAGTGATACAGGTGAGGGCCAATAATCTGCCCTCTGCCTCGGAACCAACCGCCCATCCCCGTGTGCCCAGCCATCTTTTCTACTAATGTAAGTGTTAAAAAACCTAATATTATTGATATTTCTCTTAATTATTAATTGTGTGTGCATGCCATCATAAAGTTAAGATAATATTTTTACTACAACATAGTTGTGTGTCGTCAAAAAGTGGAGTTTGGGGGTCGGCCTGGACTCTATTTCAATTAATCCCATATGTTATGTTATTCACTTTATGCGTTCCTCACTTTCCGCGGCACCCTGTGGGTTACATTAACCGTGTAAAGTGAGGGTTGACTGTATACTAAATTCAATCTTTGTATATTTAGTCGAGTTTCCATGGTTACTTAAACATATGCTCGTATTCAAATATATTATCTAATACTAAATCATCTTAGAAAATGAGCTATATTTTGTGCAAGACAATCAGTGTTAGAACATTACCACGAACAGGACCGGGGCTATACCATTCTAGGGTCCATGGGTTAAGTCTGGATAGGTCCGACTGGTTTGTAGGCTGAAAAAATAATTGGATTTGTGGTTATGTTTGTAGTCAATGTTTTAACAGTGATCCTTTAGCATATTCTTCTACACCAATGTAACAAAAACTCGACACTAAATATTACAAGTCTTCAACAAGAACACAAATAATTTTAATTAAATTTAACCAATTACGATATTAATGTAATTATTGAAACTGTATCCCTAGTCGAGTATATCTCTTGCTATTGTCGTCAGTTGATAAATTATGAACCCTGAGCGCATCTAACTACTCCACAAAAATTTTAACTAATCCGAATCAAATTTGTTGTTGAGCAAAATTCAAAGGAATTCTTTACTCAAAAGTTTTCCTTACTTCTTGTTGTAACTCAGAACTAACCTCCAAATTTACCATGAATATCAAAATTTTTTATATAAATCTAATTGTTATGATTAATGATCCAATAGTCACAAAAATAAAAAAAAACACCTAATTTATGAAGAATCAAGATATATTTAAGTTTATACATACTCAAAAAACACATACTAATCACCATTTTATTATTGTCAACATAATTGTCTTATATTCACATGATTTTCTTAAGATTAACGGGACGAGTATAGTCACACCATCCCTGGGAACACCAATGACGTCACAGTTTGTTGACCTTACTGAAACAAGTGACAATCAAGTGGAAGAAAACGAAGGAACAATAACAGTGGGAAACAGATTCATGTCGCATTTCTGAAGCATTTTTTGGTGTGTGTGTGTTTGGAAAGATGTTTATATTGTGTTTGAGTTTAGAAGGTTGAAAATGAACATGTTTGGGGGTACAAGGGGGTACAATATTGTTTCTAGATATAGTAAATTAAAAAGAAACACTTAACTTGATGAAACATGAGAGTCATTGATAAACTTACATGTGAAGTTTCAATAAAATCCACATAACAGTTTCAATGAATCTGAGAGAGATGTTGAGTACTCTATAAAGCCTTGGCATGTGACCTTGACCTGTGACCTTGAACTTGACCTCTCAATGACCACCTTCAAATGAAACTGACTTGTTATGGGTCTTCAACTCCTCATCTGAATGCCAAGTTTTGTGAAAAGAAAACAATTCATATTCAAAGTTTTGTTGAGATACAGACAGACAGATGAACTCATACCCAGATCAGGGAAAAATACACACCAAATATTCATCTGTTTTCATAAAATTGAAGAACGTGTGAAGCGTGAAAACAAACATATTAACTTGACTGTTTTTGTACCTTTATTGTGGCTATTGAAACTGTATTTACATCAGTTATTCATATGGGAGAAAAGTTCACACCTTATGACAGTGTAGCTCGGGAGAACACTTAATGAACAGTGCCTCTAAGGTCCATTTCCACTCTTTTATGGGAAAACTTAAAATTAAAGAACAGTGGTTCCCTCAGTGATGAGGTGATGGAATGTAAAGGGCATTTCTTAAAGTTTCATTCATAAACAAATACTTAAAGCCATTGTGTGTGAGCTGAAGGTTTCTTAGTGTGGAATCGGTTATAAACAAGGGATATGAGCATATATGAACACATAAGTATCGCCACTGTTTGTGTATTAAATCATTCCAAACAAAACAGAGATTCACACTCCCTTGTACAACTTGTATCTGAGAGAAATCTTGAATGTTCTGTGGTGGACTTAAGAGTGTTGATATAAAGACACTTTGTAGTTGTAGTATTTTGCAGAAATTATTGTCTTGTTTCTGTAATAATGAGGATTATACTGTATATATTCTGAAATGTGATATAAAGATATAAATGATTTTTTTTGTCTTGTATAAGTATATAAACACTACAGCATGTTATATGATTTTAATTAAAGATTTATGTTATTTTTCACTACATGATACAGTAAAGGCGACTATGAACTTACAATCACCCAGAAAAGTGCTGTTGCCTCTCCTCCTGAACCCCTAACACCAAGATTCAGACTCATGAATCCAAAGTATTTATGGACAAAATAATGCATCAGTCTACTGCTTTGGGTTCATGAGTCTGAATCTTGGTGTTAGTGGTTCAGGAGGAGAGGCGACAGGACTCTTGTAGGTGATCGTACAAGATCCCCCACCCAAACCCCTCTGGAAATGTGACTGAATCTGTAATTCGAAGCTTGAGTAAGAGTCAAAGCTCAGTGCCTCGCCCTTAACACGCGTAATAATAACCATAATAATAGTAACCTGCAAGACAGCACTTGAAGCGGCAGTATAATACCTAAAGATCATCTTAGTGTTTAGAGGTAAAGGAAGGGAAAGAAATATACACACGGAAAAAACAGATAATTCTTGAGTGAAAAAGATCTCAATTAAGGGGGCAATACTATTTTTTCCCCTTTAATACAAGGTACTTTTTTTAGCAACATTTACAAAAAAATCACACACACACACACACACACACACACACACACACACACACACACACACACACACTGAAAGAGCAGTACCTGTAATCGACTAACTAGCTCGGACACATAATATTTTATCTACTAAGTATGTTACAAGCGTCTTCATTTCCCATTTTCATCTGTAACCCACGAAGGCTGTCACCACCACGTTGTTACAGGCCAACTGTGGACCTTAGAGGCCAGCTTCCAACTACAGGCCCGGATTAAACTGTTACAGGTTCGGTTTTAATGTTACAGGTTCAGTTTAAACAGTTACAGATCTGTTTTTAGGTCTTGATCAAGTGTTAGTGTCAAGTGTTAGTGGTCAAGTGTTAGTGGTCAAGTGTTGGAGGTCAAGTGTTAGAGGTCAAGTGTTGTGAGGAGGTCAAGTGTTGAGGTCAAGTGTTGGAGGTCAAGTGTTGAGAGGTCAAGTGTTAGGAGGTCAAGTGTTGGAGGTCAAGTGTTGGAGGTCAAGTGTTGGAGGTCAAGGTCAAGTGTTGGAGGTCAAGTGTTGGAGGTCAAGTGTTGGAGGTCAAGTGTTGGAGGTCAAGTGTTGGAGGTCAAGTGTTGGAGGTCAAGTGTTGGAGGTCAAGTGTTAGAGGTCAAGTGTTGGAGGTCAAGTGTTGGAGGTCAAGTGTTAGAGGTCAAGTGTTGGAGGTCAAGTGTTAGAGGGTTTAAACACCCGAGAGTTTTGGACATTAAATGAATCACAATAATATACTATAGTCAACTAGATTTTTAAAGGTTTCCATTTTCAAATCCGGTTTATGAGGGAGTATGACCCAGGGCAGCAGTCAGAGAAACACAAAACAAATGACTGATATCAAAATTTGGTGAAGGAATTATAATAACTTGAATTAAAAGGGACCAGAGGGACCTTTTTCATGTGATTAAACCCTAGTTGTTTTATTGTGAAGTCAGTTGGATACTTACTATAACTTGACCCTTGACACCAGTTAACCTGACCTCTGGGGGTTAAGGGTACTTTAGTATTATATTCGTGGTTGTCTAGGTACTTCCCATCGAATCTAGGTCACCGTGTTGTCAGGAATTTTAGCGGTCCTTTTATATCCGGGTTTCCTTTTAACTAAAATGAACAATATCGGATTCTTCCCGGGGGTCGAATTTGTGTCGCATTGTTGTGGAGGTAGTTTACTGCACCATGGCATGACCTCTGACCCCAGTTGACCTGAGGTAACGTGGTAGGCAAGGACCTTACAGGGGTCGTGAGAACAGCTAGGACCCCTATAGAACGGCGGCGCCACGGCCCGCGCGCACATATGGCTGAAGCACACACAAGGAAAAATAATGACAACCCATTCAGGAAAGAATTATTCCTTCTCAGTATTATGCGTAAATCTGATTTTCCTACTCTATTCTGTCAATGAAATATACAGTGTTTTCCCCATTCTTATTCTGCCGTAAGATCCTCAGAGATTCGCACGTTAAATTTCCCCCGACCATTACTGTGGGAAGCCATCTAACCGACTCACTTAAGCATTGATACATTTATAGTTGCCTAAATGGTTTTGATAATGGACTGAAATTCTTCCATATTCAAATGTATTATCAAATTCCCTATTCAGGAGAAAAAGTAACACAGGAATCTTTGAAACTCCATCTTGTGGCTCTTAGGCAGCAGTGTTTACTTGTTTAGTTCTTCCCCTCAATAGATGGCACCAATAGTTAAGGCTACTGACTGTTTATTACACCAAACCCTTACTGGAAATATACCTTTGTTTACGCACTACACTGGGGAGGAAAAATAGTGTCAAGCCTCGGGCAGTGGTGCGTACGAGACAGAAAAAAAGAAACACAATTGTCAGTGATTCCAAGCCCAGTTTCCCCCTTCCCGTTTTTACAAAAAAGTAAGAAATAAAAAAGTAAACAAAACATAAAACTAGAACACGTAACAGTGGTAGGTGCAGCAATGATGCCCAGCGCTCAACATGGCAGATCAGGTGACGGTCGACGGCTCACAATAATGCGCGAAAAAACATACACACGGATCACTGAATGTGCACGAGAACAAGAAGAAAAAGCAAAATATAAACAAACGACCATTCTATCATAAACAAATGACACCGTTCTCTACTAAGTTACAAACTGATCCTGACTTTACAAGCATTACTGTATTATAAACACTGACAGTAAATGAGAATTAAAGAATTATTTAGACACTTACTACCCTTAGTAGAAAATACAGCTGGTCTTAAGAGTTTATAAAAAAAATACAGTGTTATCAATATTGTTCAAGTATTTTATGTAGTACAATAATTATTTTCTAAGGTATTTGAGGAGTCAAAATATCTTCAGAGAATGTCAGTGAATTTTGAGATTATATAAGAAATTTGTAACCTCTTCACATATTGTATTCTGAGTATAATTTGAACATTCCTAACCATCTTCTGACCATTCCTGATCAGTTTAATATTCCTGATCAGTTAAACATTCCTCATCAGTTAAACATTCCTGATCATTTTAACATTCCTCATTACTTAAACATTCCTGATCAGTTTAATATTCCTGATCAGTTTAATATTCCTGCTTAGTTTCTGAACAATTCTAAACATGCATGATCAGTACAGAACATTCCTGATCAACAATGAACATTTCTAAACAAAGAAAACTGACTATGAACGCAGGAAGCCGACATGATTCGTTCTTCAGGACACCAGGATAGGTTGACATGACTGGGTACTTCAGGATAGGTTGACATGACTGGGCACTTCAGGATAGGTTGACATGACTGGGTACTTCAGGATAGGTTGACATGACTGGTCGTTCAGGAGAGACTGGCATGTTTAGTACTTCATAATGAGCTAACATGATTGATCTTTCAGCCTAGAACAGATTTTATTATGGAATAAAAAACAAAACAACAACAACAAAAACACATTATATAAAATTAAATATAAATCATAGTGTAATTATCATGGCAGTGCAATAAAATTATGGTGAGATTATACAGGAATTATAGTAAGATTATTACATATTGGGTTTGGGACTGATAATTACCATGGTGGTGTTTTTGTCCCATAGCCAACATAATATGGGACCCAGGATATGATTCTTGGGCTCATTACATTAGCTATATCACCTTTTCTCTCCTATCTGATATTTATAACATATCTGTACTAGTCTCTCCCTTCTTTCTATCATTATCTGTATCTCAGACTGTTTATCTCACAATTTTTTTTATGCAGGTACAATAGAAGTTCCTTTTTTTGTCCATCTCAAAAATACCTTACACAATTTGTTTCCTGTAATTATTCCTCTATATGAAAACTTTCTGGAAGCTCTCCTGAGACCTTCTACCTAAAATCCCTTCTGAAACCTTTGTTAGACCATCATTTACATTGAATTTTTCCTGCTATTAAATCATTATCTGGAAGCGCTCTTAAAACCTCATCTTGGAACATCTGTACTCTGGAAACCTTCAAACAATATATATATATCTTATATTGGGAGCTCCACTTATAGCTCATCCTTGGAAAATATTTCCTGAAATACAATAAATACAAAAAAGTCACTACCTAAAAAAAACCTGAACACTTTTCTTCGAGTATCTACTCCATGGAAGGCTTCTTGTGACAGTCTCTGTATGGAAGCTCTACGAGGATGTAATAACTATGAACGTCTGCCTACTGGAATATATTTTTGAACAGAAGCTCAATGGGAGGATTTACCCAACATATTTGTCTCCCAGAATAATTTCTGTATTACACTCAGACTTTGGAAGCTGCGACTGGAGGAACACCCTTTGTTGTATATAACTGGAAGATATCTGAGAGAGTAGCTTACAGGGATACCCGAGTGTATCGTTTATATTTACTCAAACACTTTCAAGAGCTCAGCTAAAATTTGCATTACTTACTCAACTTGGTGTTAGTACTGTATTAGGCAACGAAGAGTCTAACTAGAGGATGTATATCTCTAAACACATCAACAACAGAACTACTCTTAATAACTGCCTCTTGAAACCATCATTTTATCGTCCCTCTATACAGGATCTTGGAATTTCTGGCTGGTATTATACATATATACAGCACTGTATTTTCAACACATAATAATCTTGTACAACATCTCAAATTCTTAAGAAGTGATTTATGAAATTCCGTAAAATGCTACAACTTTGTTTTTTGAAAGAATGGTATTCTTTGAGAGAGACTTCTGAATTCATCATTAAGTATAGTACAGTATACAGTTGAATTGTCTTGAAAATACTCATAGTTTAGTCTGGATAAATAGTGTCATGGTTGAAGATTTTTGGTATCATTTGGGGGATACTTTCCGCCTGCCTGTATATAATGTAAAAGATCAAGTAATTAATCTCCCTTATGGTTATACCTATACTGTATGACCGAGATGCGGTTAAAGCTTCACAAAATAAAGAAAGATTCCTTTAACATCTAACTCGGTCACCTGTCTGGATGAAGATTGTGTTATAATCATATCCTCAAGTCTCCTTATGGTCATAATCATCTAAACCTTAGTTCTGGGAAGTGATATGACATCTATAACAATACTATTCTCATCTACACATATTGAAAGTCTCTTGAAACACTTGAGCTATCTTTGGGAATATATCCTGGATCCCATACTGAATATTTCATCATATAAAAAATGGGGCAGTTTTTGAAAAAAATTTCCTGAACCACACTTATGACACCTTTCTTGTCCTACATTTTACTCTTTTCATTTTTTCCAGCTGCCATATGACTGAAACAGATATTATGTTACGAATTACATGACCTAAAGGCTTAATATAATCCTTCATTGCAGAACAGAGTGACTCATTACACCATCAAGAGTAAATTATGTTGATATCAATAAACACCAACTCAGGCAGTATATATATATCTTAAAAATTTAATGAACTGAATATTGTATGAGACACCTTCTTCACCAGCTCCTACACGAAGACCCGCCATCATGGATTTTAACAGCATCAGTTAATTAACCTTGAAAGCGAATGCATGTAAAGTTGCTCCAGAAAGATATTGTATGTTGAGTCTGATGTATTATGAAGTCCAGAGATGGCCTGTATGTTTTAAGCAGTAATTAGTATTATACAGACCGACAAACACCTGGACCAAAATGAGTACAGAAAGCTCGGCAGTAACCAGCTGAATATTTCTCTTCATAAGGGCTTATTCAAAGTCTAATTTACAGGAAAATCAACCCGATGGAAAATGATCACAAGAACCAAAGAGAGTAGTCGCGTCACACACACATCCGCCAATATGTTCTCAGCAGCAACAAGACTACAAAAAACAAATAACTATCGCTGAAATGTATTTACACGATGGCATAAAGTTTACAACACCACCAAGATTATGATTAAGAACCTACGGGGGGTGATTTCAGTCGTCTATACTGACAAAATGTAAACATACTACATGAGCATCGTTATGTGAGTGGTAATAGTGTTGGAATAGTGAGCCAGATACTCCAGTGGGATTTGATTCACAACAGCCACTCAACACTTATAGTTATACAAAGTTCTTAATTGACAGTCGTACAAATGCAAGTGAGTTAAGACCTAAGCTCTACATCTTTCTTTGAACTTGGATTACAAAAGATTTTATTTACACTGTTAATATATCAAACCTTTATAATACCGTTTCCATTTCCGCTATTTCTCTTATTTCCACTGATGCTCTGAAAAGAGAGAAAAGTACACATATTAATACAAGCACAATAAACAGAGCTCTAACAGCCAGCTAAAGAGATGAAGGAGAAGGAAATAGAATATATTATGCGTAAAATAAACATTTCAATAAACTGGTGAATAGAAAACGTAGAATGACGTCAGAGTTAACATACATAATCAGACTTGTGAGGACATACACACAGACACAGTAAAAGGAAAGTGAAAAAAATATCCATTAATGTCACACACAAGAACTGAAGACATGAGTTAATGGGTTCCGGATGTTTAGGGATTTACACAAAGACACACAGTTAACACATATCAAACACAATAATATTTACAAAGTCACAATTGGAAGCTTTGATCTCACTTGTCCTGTATTGAGATTATGGATATAGTAGACATGTGAAGGATTTAGGGGGATAATTTAGTTGATGTATATCTAGTGATTTGATTCTTTAAAAGTTGTTGTTCTCAAATTGCACTTATTTAAAATGTCATATAAATAATGCCTATGTAGACTATATATATCTGACTGTACAGTATATAATAAGAAATATGTGTTTTAGATTACTGAATATAGTTACTGATCAATTTAGAAACAGTTTGTGCATTCAAGGTGCTTCAGAAATCTTTATTATTAGGGTAAGAACTCATTCATATCCTTACAACAACACAGCATCAGCAATTGTTCTAAGGATCTTTTAGGTAAATAAAGTTATACAGTATATGTTATGCTTGATGTATGGGCTATAGTTTAAATAATGGATCTGGATATTGTTTAGTACAGTACTCAGTTTTAACATCCTCAAGCCCAGTTCATCATTTGGTATTTTCAATTGCACTTACAAACTCTGTCTTATTGGTTCAAGTTATAAACTGTATTAAAAACCAAACTCTAAGCATTAAGTTGAATCAATTTTACATGAAATGGGAATATTTTCAAACTCTGGTTCTTAGTTGTGATTATAGTCGAGTGTTCTAAAGCTATTGTATTTGTTAAGCTGTGTATTGTTGTTTTTGCAATTTGTTGTTTTTGTTTTGGTTGCATCAATTCGGTCAGGACTATTATCAATGTGTCTTAGATTTTAGTTTTAGATGCTTCAAGTGTCGAGGATATGAAACATAGTTCACTAATTGTAATCTCGAAGGCAGAAGACTTAAAAAAAAATTGAATAATAATTACTTTAAGATGTGCAAATGATGAGTCAGATTTTAAAAGACTTTATGTTATGTATTGTGGATTTAAATTTCTAGTGTTTAGTGGTGGGATGAGTCAAATGAGCTCCTGTGGTAATAGGTCTCAATTTGCCCAGACTATTAGAACTGGATACCAGTCCTATTAAGCTTGAGTCCTATGGCCACCAATCCCAAAAGGCCCTGATTACATTAGGGCTTATTAGCATTGGGGCCAATTAGAACCGAGGTCAATTATGACTGGGGCCTATTAAATTATGACTGAGGCTCATTAGACATGCAATCGTGTTTACTAAGAGGACACAAGAAACAAAGACGAAAATATAGTTCCTTTGCTAAATAATCACATAATTAGTGAAAACATCTCATTAACTGTTTTCTTTTATGAAAAGGAAAAAGGATCAATATGAATTATCAGAATAAAAACATTGTGATTATTTATCTATAAGATGTACGTGTAGTCCTGGTTGGTCATGTACCCTGGGTGGGGTGTACAACTGCTTGCTCTACACATGACGGTGTAAAAGTGGGCGGGGCGCCAGAGTTACTGGTGTTTCTCGAGGAACCCGATCACCCCGCCTCATCTAATGGGGCTCAAACACACACTTTACACCTGTGTGCGTAGCGCGCCCCACCCTGGGTACATTACTCCCCAGGGTAGTCGTACACTTGTCGATGTTTAGATCAATTTATCTATAAGAGAAGGTAATAATCAAGAGTTAGGTAAAGAAGCAACACTTTATAATTATTTATATGGGGGGGGGGGGAGTTAGAACTGCAAGTGTAATCATTCATATGTATAAAAAGGTGAAAAATACTTGTAATTCTTTGGTCCACACGATAAGGTACGACAATTAGCCTTTAAATACCATATAAAGACATACTGAATTCTGTCATATGGAATTCATCCTCATTTATTTTTAATTAATAAAACAAATAAGAAAATAACTAATTAGCATTTAGGGTCGTCCTTAGCTTTGAGCAAATTGCAATTTTGGGTTTGTCATGGGGGAAGTATTTATGGCGGAGGTAGTGTGTGTACTGGCTGTTGGTATTATTATTATGTTCGAGGTTATGAATGACACGGTTCTTGTGCTACAGAGAGAGAGAGAGGTCTTATACTGTTAATTATATATTTAGGAGAGGAAAAGAGAGAGAGGGAGAGAGCATATTATCATACCTAATGAATCAATAACAAATATATCATTTATATTAAAATATATATATATACTGTATGTGGAATTAAAAAAGAGTTCAAATTGAGCAAAATATTGAATGAGTACATAAAAACTATTCACTCATAACACAAAAATACAATTTATATAAAAATAAAAAGAATAAAATAGGCTTGGCAAACACATTCTTTGCTCTCTCACACACACACGTCACAAACATGCATATCTAGTTGTTGCCCTGTCTATCTATCTTACTCGTGGGCAAAAAAATACATAATAAAAAATCCCTTTGAAAATGAATGAAGAAATCAAGAAGAGAAAGAAAGAAAAAGGAGATAATTGAGAAGAAAAAGAAATACGTTAAATTCTGAGAAAGAAATCGTGTTCTCCCCATAATGTTGCCATGGCGATAAAAATACATGAAAATTAATAATGTAAGATTGAATCATCATAACAGATACAAATGATGACTACCCCTTTTACGTGAAGAGATTAAACTGTACTGCACCCAAGTGGTTATCTGTAGCCGCCTCCCCCAAAAAAAAAAAAATATATATATATAGTATATACAATATATCAAAATCTCTCAGTATATACCAGTTAGGAGACAAAAATCTATGTACTGTAATGGAAGGATTTAATATGTAAACTGTGATTAGTAGCTGAAGGCAAGTGAAGTTATGGAAGGAGGTGAGGGTTAAGTTTAAATCTATCTTAAATTAGAAAATCCCTTTAATTGCTACAACACCAGAGCTATATACATACTATTAATTATTTCATGTGTGTTTTAGGCAACGCTTTCACATATTAACTTATAAGAATGTGTGAGAATGTGGATCTTGCTGTTTATAAATATTTCAACTTAACAGTTGAGATGTAAACGTGGTATATTCTTGCTTGTAGGTGTTCATCTCCGTCTTATATATGAGAGGAAGAAAATGACAGAGACAGAGAGAGGGAAGAAAAAAATCAGGAACTACGAATAGTCACTAAGGAATATGGATTTTCCTCATCCGTATGCATGAATCACTGCAAGTTGCTCGAAGCTAGAATGTATAGGCCTACAAAAACCAATTGTAACATCCAAGAGAAAAATAACCACACTTTTCAGGCACTTCATACAATTAATTTGGGTCATGAGACTATGCAATAATACAACTGTGTAGGTTGCCAGGTAGTAATATATCTTGTTGCCAGAGCACGTTAATCTCTGAAGTCCTTGGTAAGGCATTTCATCTCATACATGGAAATGAAGAACCAGAATGACTTAGAACTGGAATTACAAGCATAGTGAGACAGACCTGGAATGAAAACATGTCTGATATAGTGAATTAGATCAAGAATTAGAAACTTGACTTAAAAAGACTCAAAACTTAGAACTGAAAGGTGAATATTCTTATACGAAAAGACTTTTGAAATACTGTACATGTATACACAAAAACTGTGAGAAGTTATAAATAAAAGGGCGTACTGTATTATGCCACAGACACAAGTGTATAATTAGTGACACAGTTTACCATTCATATTGATGATAGAGAGATGGAAATTTCATAGTCTAAGAGTCTATCAGCAGTAACAGGCGCGTGACCTCCCTCGGCCACCAGCTCAACTCTTTACAACAACAAATTTCCACCTCAGTGATGCGAGATTGTCGACCATTGTTGATGACCGCACCAAGACGGGTATAATGTGTTTCATTATGTCATTATTTTTTTGTTCACCTCCAAGGAATTAAGAGACATGAGAGAAGTTTAAAACAAATCACTATAAACGTAAAATGCATGTGCATATATAGAAACTTTGTTGGCATCTAATAAATAAACAATATTAGCAACATGCAAATCATCATAAAAGCCCAGAACTCAAAAACATAAAAAAATAATTGGGGTTTTGTTCGATAAGGAGTTTCTTGATCAGATAATTTCTGAGCAGGTAAACTGTGCACTGTGATTGGTTATTTATAATATTGCAACCATCCATTCACCACCATCTTATAGTTAATCAATAACTAAATGTGAAGTTTTCTGTTGCTTAGAAATTATTAGTCACAATAATTTTTTAAATTATCAATAGTCCCCTAAACTGACAAGGAAGTGTCAGAAGGCTCGATGGCTATAGTCTCTCAATTAATATGTACAGAGTTAAGTGCCTCACCTCACAAAGAGGCTTCTTACTAGTAAACAAAGTCTTTTATTCTCCCACCTGACTTACTTTATTTACAGCTAATCACGGAAAACTTTATAACTTGCCTGACAGAAAAAACTTGGCATCCAATAGCAAAGATTCTCTACATCTCCATTTCTAGCCAATCAGCAAGTGTCTTTCAACCCTTTTAGACCCAGAAACTCCTCTCAGCACTCCAGAGCAGCTTTATGGCATCTCTGGAAAGCCACTGAGAGTAACTATTGATCAAGAAGTCCTATTTTGTCGATGGCTAACCCCTAAATGATCTCAGAAGCTAGGGAAAAGATATGAAGCGTAATAAACACATGCAGAGGTGCGGTGGTACACGTACAGTCAGACCTCCGTCACGCGACCCACTAACTCCCCACACGAAAGCTGTCGCGTCCTGAAATGTCGGATAAGCGAGAGGTTATTACCGGGTGAGGGAGAGGCACTCAAGCCCCAGGCAACAA